CACATTTTATTTGTATAGTTTCTAGGACCTCATAAATGTATATCAAAATATTTTTAAGGTAAGCATTTGTATTATTTTCCATTTTCTCTACTATATTACTGACTATATCTACTATCATCAATATTCAGTGCAATGAAATTTTAAAAATGGAAATATGTACATACATTTCATGTCTTCATAGAAATCCACTAGAATAGTCATATTTTTCTTATATGCATAATTTTAAGTCTTTTCACATATAGTTTATTTTTAAATTTTCTTTCAAACACTTTATCTATTATCATTTATGCTCATACACTAATTGGTGCCGATAGTGCTTAAACACACTATTTTGTTTATAACCTTTCAAAATCCAGACAACAAGTTAAGTTTATAAAAATCATTGAACCATTCAAATATGATTTTTAAGACAAACTTAATACATAATTAACTAAAATATAAAAGTAAGACCTAAATACAGTTTAACTGCCTGTCTGACTATGGCATATTTAGGTAAGAAACCACTGTACATGCTATAGTCAATCAAGACAACAATATGAATGGCATCTACATGTACACTGTAAGAGAACTGCACACCAATTTCAAATTAACAGTATAGTAAAGTGTAAACTGAGCTCTTTCTAATGACTATATACACTTGTGTCAACTAATTAAACATACATTGTAAATCTCAAGGCAAAGTATAGAAGGAGTGTGTGGCAACCATCAAGGGTTGGATAATTTATATCTGTTTCCCAGACAATCCAGCTTGCTGATTTTAAATCTCACCTGACAATTAGGTCAAACATACATACTTAGTGTGTAGAACCACCTGTACATGCCAGCTTGTGTGTCTAAGAGAGAGAAACTGTGCTAATTTCGAGGATTTTCAAAGTAAGTGGATCACGTGACGTGAAAACTTCATTTTTAAATATTTTTTTGGAATCTTTTTTTGAAACAAAATAATTAAAACTTGGATAACATAAAGATTCAAATTATAACATACAATATAATATTAATTTCATTTCCATATATTGATAGTAAAGTAGTTTATTTAAATTTTGAATGTAATGCAGTGCCAAATGCAGAAAGTAATTTAAAAATGGGTTTGGGGGCCACAGAGCTAACGGGGATACCTCATGGATAAGGATGGGAGAAAAGGGATATCTTGTTTGACCAGACAGCACAGACTTCTGTGTTTCTGTAGCATATATTTCATGTCTACAAAATATTTGAAATTTTCTAAATTCTTATTTTGGAACATCCTAAAACTGGTTGATGGTGATGTACTAGAGTCAGATGGAGGTGTTACTTTTGTAGCTTTAACAGGTAAGGAACTTACCTACTGTTTAATAGGACAGTTATATTGTGTTTTACCTGACCTTATTTAAGGAGGATACCTTGTGACTATCATATGGAGCACAGACATTTCTGCATTCCATTGACCATTTTCTAATTAGTCAGCTGCAGAGAGAGTATGTATTGTGAATGCAATTTCAGTGCTTTTGCATCAGGTTCATTCTAACTTTTAAAGAAGATTGTTTGTTTCATGTTTGAGAGTACATATTGTTGCGTCATCGAGATCATGTGATTCTCACGCTCTCTCCTTTCTTGAATTAACCTGTACTTTGGCGAATGTTCTAGTTCTTACTAGATATAGGGTAGGCGGATATATATAAGAGGGGAATGTAATGTGTGTGTATAGATAGTGAGTAATTGAACTGCAGTCAGAAGTATTGTTGACGTTCGTTGATTAGCGTTTGTTTTAGCGCAATTGTTGAAGTTAAGTGTATCGGTAAAGTTATATTCGGAAAGAATAAACCAAGTTTATTAAGAAAGAACTTGTGTCGCTTAAGTTTCGTCAGAACGAAGTTACGGAAAATCAATTAACAAACTGAGACGTAACAATATGTTTACTAACAGTCTGGTTCTTTTTTTTACACTCATTTCTACCTGCTGATTGTGCACATTTCAGCTTCATTTCACTCTCAAATTGATTTAATGTGAATCTACTTTGATTCTAGTCACAGTGTATTATATTTTGTATTGTGAATGCAATTTCAGTGCTTTTGCATCAGGTTCATTCTAACTTTTAAAGAAGATTGTTTGTTTCATGTTTGAGAGTACATATGTTTACTAACAGTCTGGTTCTTTTTTTTTACACTCATTTCTACCTGCTGATTGTACACATTTCAGCTTCATTTCACTCTCAGATTGATTTAATATGAATCTACTTTGATTCTAGTCACAGTGTATTTTATTTTATTTCGATTTCCTTACTTCATCATGTTTTGTTTCTTTCATTTCACCTTTAACAAATTGCTGCCCCTGTCCCAAGATTCATGAACCTCTAGTTTTTGTGAAGATCAAGTGACTATGAGTTAGGCTTATCCTTGAATTGCCACATCATCATGAAATGAGGAGAAGATAATGAACATATTTAGAAGCCATCTCTGTAAACTGAAAATGTTTATGAACAGCTCGTGAAGCTACAATAATTCCTTTACAATAACTTATCAGCCTGTGTACTGCCATTTATAACTTCCATAACAAAGATCCTCCTTGTAGGTGACACAGAATTAGTCTTGGTACATTGATCAACCAGACTTCAATAAACAGTCAGTGGGCTGTTTTGGAGGAGAGAGAGAGAGAAGTTTACTTGCTTCAACAATAGTGACTCTATGTACAGCTTCAATATGTTCTGATTCTCTTGCCTTGAGACATTTGGGGCACTACCAAAATTCAGCATTATGAAGTCCACCAAGCCAAAGAACTTGTGGTACATTTGGCATAAGTGTGAGGTCTGCGTGTATATCCCATTTTATTTACATCTCTGTTAGCATAAAATTTGTTTTCCAGAATGCATCTCAGAGTTTTCATCAGCCCTTTGTCCAAATTAATAAGGTTAACACAGATATTTTATATTGCATTAAACCTGTATATGTAATGAAGTTATTAAGCATATACTTTTATTTTTCTTATATATTAAATTATTGGTGTGAAAGTTTTATTAAAAAGTGTACAAGTTAGCATGGAATTTAGAATTTGAAAAATTGTAGAAACATTAATACTGGTATGCCTTTATATAAAGTTTTTCAGTACATATACTTTTGTAGATTATTTGGATAATTTCCTCTCTGTTAAGCCTTAAATTTTACTTTGTGAATAAAGAAATTCTCTTTCGGACAAGTGCATTTTTGTATCTTCCATGTACTTTATGAAGAATTCATAAGTTTTTGATTGGTTCATTTAAATACATCCAAACTTATGCCCATTTAAATGAATTGAAACTTGTAAACAAAAAAGTTTCTTAACTTTCATTTGCTAGGCCACAGAAAGGTGAGGGCAAAGAACCTTAAAACAATTTCAGAAAAATTAAAAATGGTTTCAGAATTTCATCATTGCTTTGTACTGGTTCTTAAAATATTTCTATAGTTAGGTGGATCTGTTTTTTTATTTTGTTTATAGTGTAAATTTTATTATAAATTTTTGCCAAGGCTTATTACTGTGGTCATAACAATTTTCCATTTCTCATCAGTCTAACCTTGGTAGAGCTTGACCTTTGACTCTTTTGAATTGGTTAGTTGTGTCAATTGCCCTTTGATTTAGTTATGCGATGTAGTTAACTCGTGCCTTTCCATTCCTGCCCTGTTTTTTCAAATGTTTAGAATGTGCAAGTACTTTATGTAGATAATTTTATTTTTCTGCAAGATCACTGTTGTGTATGTTTGTATGTAATCACCTTAGATATACATACTAGGTGTAGGCCAGAAATCCTATTTTATATGCATTTGAGATATAAAGTGTAATAATGCAAAATTCTGGTTGAATTAACACAAAATGTGGACCTCATTGAATTTTTGTCGTATTTTAAAGAATCCTGATATCTCAGCATAAATGAGGTTCGATAACTGACAAGTCTGCAATTGATCCAATTTAGGTTTTGATTGAGATAATAGTAGATATTCTTTATGTTTAGGCCTGGTATGACCTAGTTGTTAGGGCACTTGACTTGCAACCTACAGGTTGTGAGTTTGAATCCAATAACCAAACATGTTTGCCCTTTCAGCTGTGGGGACATTATAATGTGACAGTCACTCCCACTTTTCATTAGTTATATTGTAGTCCAAGAGTTAGCAGTAGATGATGGTGACTAGCTGTCTTCCCTCTAATCTATCACTTTTAAAGTTGATCAGCTAAAGCAGATAGCCCTTGAAAAAGCTTTGCACAAACTTCAATAAAAACCTTTGTGTTTGCTAAAATTATGAAACATATTTTCAATAATAAATAAGAAACCATATCCACACTTCTAGTAACTGGACATTCGGTTGAGAGAGACAAGAAGAATTTTAAAGTAATAATTATGTAAAATTATCTTTATATATATCTGTTTTGATGAGGAAATGTTTTGCAAAGATATTTATACAATATAACACACTTTTCACCATTTTGTGCATGCAAAGTTACAAATAGTGATTGAGGACAAGGTTACTAAACAGTATATGCAGATTAACCAATATGTATATGTACACTCCCATAAGGCCCCAACTCAGAGGGGGGTGCCAACCACTGGAGGGGAAAAAAATACCCGAATGAAATTGGAGAATTAGGCAAATATGACAATTAGAACTAGCTCAAATGTTGTGATGCTTATAGGCTGTTTATCACATGCTTTGACTAGATTTTAGGGGGGGTGGAAAACTTCTTCATACACAGGGCCCCAAAATTCTTCATTGCAGATTAAAGTATTGCAGTAGACTGCTTGAATTTTTGTTAATAAGACAACTGTACAAACTTATTTGTGGCTAGAAAAACCATTGTAGGGTTTTAAGAATGTCATGATTAAAAAATAGATAGCAGTGATATTCCATGACATCTTGTTACTTATTTTTGCTTGAAACGTTTTATTGCTTCTCTAGGTTTGGTGTTTCCCACTGTTAGTTTTCAGTAGTTAAATTGTTTGCAAGTCATATTAGTTACTGTTTTTGTGATTCTGTCCTAATTATAGATGTATTTTTCAGTGAAGTGATGAGTCATCCAGTAACAACTTTCTGTACAGTGGAGAAAGTTGGTCGAATAGTGGAAACGTTAACATCAGAGCCTCACAATGGTTTTCCAGTAGTTGACAGTGATGAGGTAGTGGAACTTCCTTTACCTTTATTTTCAGATTTTTAGCTATGATTGCATAATAATTGGTTAAATGTAAAAATGTTTTGAGTTTCTTTCTTTATCATTTCATATTTTGGATTCAAATTTGCTCTTATTATGAAAATGAGAGTAATATCACTAAGTTGGAAAACTTAATGGAGAGATTTGTTGTTGTTTTTATTACACAGGCCTGCAATGGTTTTTACTGTTATGAAATTTTTACATATTTTACCATAATTCTTGTACATTGAATCTGAAAATGATATCCTTTTTTCTCCATCACGTACAGATATTTCACAAAATGTCATATGTACTTTTACATAAGTGAATCATTTTCATTGAAATTGGGTCACATTTTGTTATGCTTTAACTGTTGACCAATTATAACATGAGAGTCTTATCGATCATTCTAGAACCCACGAGAAATACACCGCTAGTATATAAAGAGTTAACATGCTGCATGATGTGTCATTTCTGGATATTATTTGTTTGTGCATGCACTTTGACATTATTTTTTCTTTCCAATATTATTCATTTGTTGCTATGTCAACAATAGGTTGTGTAAATGACCCAAACATATTCTGTTATATTTGTGGTAGATTTGTAAAGAAACAAAAGCAAAACATTACAGAATTCGTCAAAAAAATGTGTTATGAGTATTTTGGAATAAAGCTTGGGAACAAATCATGGGCTCCACACAAAGTTTGCACCATTTGTGTCGAAAAGCTGAGCCAATGGACTAAAGATAAGAAAAAGTCTTTGCCTTTTGGAATTCCAATGGTTTGATGTGAGCCCAAAAACCATGGAATGACTGCTATTTTTGCTCATGTAACATGCAAGGCTACAATACTTGAAATAAAAAGGAAATTTCTTATCCGAACCTACAGTCTGCTTTAAGACCTGTTGGTCATGGACCTGATGTACCTGTACCTACTCCACTGGAAACTCTTGATACAGTGTCATCTGATTCTGAAACTCATGTCAATAGAAATGATGATAGGGATTGTTTTCAACCTGAAATATCTTGTTAACCACAACTTTTCACACAAGGTGAACTTAATGAATCGATGAGAGATTTGAGCCTTCCAAAGGATTCTTCAGAGATTTTGGGGTCCAAACTTCAGGCTAAGAATTTACTTTCTCCAGGGACCTCATTTTACTGGTACAGAAATCATGATAAAGAGTTTATACCATAATTTTCATAAGAAGGTTCACTGGTTTATTTAAACAATTTGGTGAATTAATACCAATGTGAGGAGCTGCAGTATATTAACCAAGTGAGTGTTAATTGTTCATTGATTTCTCCAAAAGAAGTCTAAAAGGTGTTCTCCTTCACAGTAGTAACATATATGCATCTATAACTATTGCTCATTTGGTTCACTGGAAGGAAACATACAAAAATCTCAAACTTCTTCTTGATAAGGTCAAATGGAAAGAACATGGTTGGCTAGTTTGTGGAGACGTAAAAGTCTTTTGTATGTTGTTGGATCAACAATCTAGTTAAACAAAGATTCTATGTTTTTTGTGTGAATAGGACAGCAGAGCACAAACTCAGCACTAGATAAAGAAGCAATGGCCACCACACAGAGTCACTCTGATACCAGGATCGAAAAGCATTGAACATAAAAGTTTGGTTGACACAAAGAAAGTCCTATTACCTCCACTTCTCAGAAAACTGGATTTGATGAATCAGTTTGTGAAGGCCTTAGACAAAGATGGTGACTGTTTCAAGTATTTATGTGGGCAATTCCCAGCTCTTTCAGAAGTGAAACTTAAAGAAGGGATTTTTGTTGGGCCTCAGATTAGGAAATTGACTTCAGATGAACAGTTCGAAAGGACAATGAAGAAAGTTGAAAAAGAAGTGTGGATTACCTTTAAAGATATTTTATTCACTACCCCCTCCAATAAGTAAAAAATTTAACGTAAATAACTCACTATAAAATTGTCATTGCTCAGAAAAACCATAATTTTTTTATAGCTTTCAATTTTGTTTGGTTGCAGAGCCATCAAATAGAAAATCAGACCCCTCTTGTCACATTCCCTCTTTCAGGATTTGTTAATAGTTCTCTCTTATGTTTAATTCTATATTGTCTATAATCAATAGAAAGCCAAGGTTTTCATCTATCAAGTGACGTATCATATTCCGTTGTGTTCTGAAGAGAGAATTGTCAATTTCTCTTTTAGTATAAACTTTGTTCCCACAGGAAAGATAACAGTTAGCTTGGATGAATTTGTAACAATTTTTGTTGCATAGTTAAAAAGCCAGAAAAATTTTAATAGAGGAAATTGTCTGCTTTTCACATGTTATTATTCTATGTTCTTTGATGCATTATTTAATTAATAAAAAAATATTTTGTGCATTACTATCATTAGTATAAAATGGATGGTTAAGTATCATCAACAGTTGACTGCAAAAAAAAGACGATGGGTAAGTAACTTATTTCTTGTTTTTCATGTAAAATGTAAAAATAGGTTAGATTAGGTAAAATAAATAATAATAATAATATAATAAACAAAATTTCACGAGGCATGCACACGAGCAGCTTGGAGTAACTCGTGGGTAATGTAATTTGATAACATAATGTGAGCTACACATTCCCCAAATGATTTATAACTTATGATGGTGTGAATAGTAGTTAGACATGGTTCAAAGGCAATAAAACAATAAACTTTAATTATAAATATATGTATGCTGTTATGAGTTTAAAGCTACTTAGGATAAATGAATATAATTTCA